ATCAAAATAGATATTATTCATGTATTGGAGATTTTTTACATTCCAAGTGATACTAAAGTATTTGCTTTTTTCAATGTCTTGAACGTCTTGAAAGTTTTCAATTGTAATTTGTGTTAAATATGATATAAAATATAGATTGTGTTCGTTTTCAAAAACTTTTTTTTCTCATGGCATCAATGCCGGATAAATAAAAAATTCTTTGATCAAAGAGTAAAAAACCCCGCCACTCCATCTGTGCAATTTCCTTCCTTTCAAATCACTTTCTTTGACACTTTAATGTAAATAATAAGTCCATTGAGAGAAATTTTAGCTTCCAGAAAAAGATATCTACTCTTATCTGATACCAATATGTTTCACTGATTTCTCTCAATTTCCCGCCTTCCACACTTCAGTAATTATCTTTATCTTGGATTTTTTAGACTAAAATGAACGGTAAGATTAATAGAAACCAAATAGTACACTTTTCCTCTCACATTAATGATCCTTTTCTTAGCCTTTGTGCAAATTGCAGAAGTACTAAAGAGAAAGTATAGTATAGTTTAATTAAAAATAAATGTCCACTCTTAGTTGAACCAGATAGCTGAAAATATTCGTTATATTTTGTTTTAAATTTCCAGCCCTCTTAAGTCACGGAGTGTCACTCTTTTCAAACGTAGAAATATTATAGCTTTTAGGATTAGGTGTCCAATTTAAATTGATAGCCAAGAGGTTCATTTTTTTAAATTGTACTTCATCCTCCTCCTCATTTGCACGAAGCCTTTCTTTCTGTTTCATTACTTACATTACTTTCTGTTTCATTTTAACTCCCTTGTATTTATCAGTAATAGATATTGTTGAAAGTGCTTTAGATTGGATATGGGTAATTTATCAATAGGAATTAAAGTAAACAAAACTTCTACTATCAATAATTGGTCATGGCGAGCTTATTCCAACTGGGAAGGCATATTTTGCAAATGTTGATGAAAATGAGAATACATTATACTGTCCCCTAGCTATCTATCCATTCTTTTTTTCATTCAAAACCACGCAAAAATATATAGAAAGCTCAGAAAAGCAAAAATCATTCCAAAAAGATGAGGTTTAGTAGATAAAATTTTCTTAAACGAAGTCAAGGCTTGCAGGTAATTATATTTCTCCACCACACTAATGGAGTACCAATCTTAAGAATTTCAAGACCTCGAACGTGGCCTATTTTCACGCGCGCGCCTGTCATTTTCTCGCCACTAGTCTTCGCACACGCGCAATATTAACGAAACAAGTAACAATACAGCTATTTCAAGAAAGGTTGGGGAAGGTTTAGTTGCATGTTGCATACCGAACCTGAAATGCACTATGAGCGATGTGAATACAATCAGCGTAAGGGTTCACCATGACAACAATATGGAATTTTCCTCAAACTTTGTCTGCACGTTTTTCCGGCATAATTAGTTCTTGTGCTGACATTATGTACATATGAATATAATAGTTTTCAAGCTATAAAGCAAAATGTAAGATGCAACAAACGCTTCACCATTTTTTTTTTAAAAACTGCATATAAAAATGATCTCACGTGATTCTGGAATGATTAGTACTTAGGAACGTCGAGTACAGTCCTTGCAAATCTCAGTACCATCTTATCTGCGTCATTCCCATCTCGTACCATGTTCTTAAAATGACAGCAAAAAATATTCATGAAGTCCTTGGCAAGGGCAGCATTTGTCATACTTGACATACAGCAAAATAGAGTGGGTACGTGAAGTAGCGTTCAGATATCGAACATAAATCATCCTTATTTAACATGCCTATATTGTTATATATCATCATTATATAAATTGAAATAGGATCACGCACAAAATAGTTGCAGTCCGAGTTAAAGTCAGTTCTCAACTTAACGATAATAACTAGAGAGGTTATCAATTGTACACCGAGCGCGAACAACAAACGACGTCAATATTCTCCTGCTTCACATAGACAATAAAATGTTCACGTCTCTCTGGGCGTGATGACATCCGTGCAGCGCGACTGTTAACGTAACTATAGTTAAAATCAAAAACGGGAATAACAGTCGGGCTGCATACAAACTAGGCAAAAGGTCTTAAATTAAATGAAAATTTTGGCAAGGTATGTGATTTTAAAATATTTAAAAAAAGAACTTGATATATGGCTGCAGTTGTACTCAGTGTTATGGGGGAGGGGAGGGAAGGGAAGAATGGTTTGTTTAGGTTAGTTGGGAGTGACTCGCGATGCAGCATGGGAAATGCCGGCTACACTGAATAATACGAAGCTCAATATCTTTACGTCGGAGAATTCTTCGACCCTGCACCGATGCCAACCGCCTTATCGGATGAGATGCATGTATGTATGCGAACAAGCGATCGCGAATATATCACCATGCATTTCTAGGCCACCCCCAGACAAAATGAAGTCAACATCGAAATTTCATTGTTAATGCGAATTTTATCTTCAAAATAAAACATTTTAGGAAAGTTCTAACATCTTCTTTTGTCAGTCGAAGGAAAGTTTTTCACTTGATCTAATAAACCCTATTCGTTTTGGTGCAAAGTTTTCCCATTGCAAACTGCAAAGTTTTCCCATTACAGACTGCAAAGTCTTCCCATTACAGACTGCAAAGTCTTCCCATTACAGACTGCAAAGTCTTCCCATTACAGACTGCAAAGTCTTCCCATTACAGACTGCAAAGTNAGTCTTCCCATTACAGACTGCAAAGTCTTCCCATTACAGACTGCAAAGTCTTCCCATTACAGACTGCAAAGTCTTCCCATTACAGACTGCAAAGTTTTCCCATTACAGATTGCAAAGTTTTCCCATTACAGACTGCAAAGTTTTCCCATTACAGACTGCAAAGTTTTCCCATTACAGACTGCAAAGTCTTCCCATTACAGACTGCAAAGTTTTCCCATTACAGATTGCAAAGTTTTCCCATTACAAGCTGCAAAGGTTTCGATACCACGTGTAATTTTCTCGAGAATAAGATTTTTTGTTTGAGTTGTATCCATGTTCATGTGTCTACTCATGTGCAACCGTTAAACAAAGAAATGATACTCTAGAGAATGACACGTGGTCATTTCTTGGGAAAGCTTTGCAACACTTTGAATAAGATCAATTGTCAGTTGTCGCTCATTGGAAACAAGGTAGATTAATTGCAGATGTTTCCTATCCTGTCCTCCCTCTTTTCTTTCCCCGTCATTTTTGCCCAAGAGCGTGATCGAGTGATCGTTATCGACTCGAAAAACTCGAAACAAACTCCCATGTAAATAGTTTTCGAGTAGTATTCGTAGCGTTGATCGGTGCCACGTCTTCCAGACATGACCCACTACTCATTCTTGACAAACTAAATCAGATTTGGCAGAGCGCTTTAAAATAAAAGGCAAAAGAGTGTCAGATAAGTGATTTGTGACAAGATTTCCACATAAAATCCTTAAGGTCATATTCTTGATTTTGTGTGATAAAAGAACGGAAAGTCAAAGATGTCGTGTCTTTTGAACTGGAGCGCACGTTTATCCAAGGTGAAAAGCTTACTGATGCTATCTTTTATCGTTTTACTTAGGAAATAATTTGTTTTTACCAACATTTTGCAATTTCAAAGCACAATTCATTAAGTAGTGACCTCTATAAACTACCGTCAAAGCAACAAATTAGTTCTTTTATGATTTGCTGTTGAAAATGTGAAACCATTTTTTCCCCCTATTTTTTCTTTGGTATTTCTTGCTTTCCTTTCGAGCTAGAGTCTATGGTATAGCCGGATCTGACATTGGCGATCTGAGACGACTTTTTGCACTTTTATGCGTGTTATCTGGCAAAAACACGAAAAACCACAATAAAGGTTATGCTTCATATTTCAATCTAAAATGAAAGTACTTGTTCGGTTGTGAAATGTAAAATTTGCAGCGTGTTACTCGGTCTCGAATTTCAAATCCAGCCTACAACGTTTTTTGAAATAGGTGTGTGTATATCAGTTTATAGAGCAGTACTCGATGTTAATCAGGAAACAAATAAAACCACTATCCACTCTAATGAAATTGGCATCTGCGTTAAAAGCGAAGAGGGAGCGACAAACCGGCAGTACAGATGTCGGATGGTCGAGATAAAGATTCCTCTTTCTTTATCGAGTTTATTTTTACTGGCGGCTTTTTTACAAGAGGACAATCTACTGGAAATATCATTCTGTAGAATCTTCTTTACTTAGACCTGTCGATAGCACTTAGTTTTATTAAAATGTCGATTGAACCGCTTCAAAGGAGGCGAATCGGCTCTCATGCCGCCGCTATTCGCATTAGTGATTTATTTTGCACTAAAGATCGGTAGTTTACATTTAAGATTTTATCTTATTTTACATATAGGATTTTATTGTTAATTAATATATTTAACTATAAGAAGAGATAACTAGCTATAAACTAGTGTTATATTTAACTATAATGAATTAATAATAACTATATATTATTAAATCATTTTAGTTTTAGATGGTTTCCTCGATTAGTTTTTTTAAAAGCTGAATTCATTGACACTCCCTTCCCCCTCCAAATACAACTGCCAAAGGGAAGGGGCGTCACAGTTACCCTAGGACACGCCCATGCTATGTAAATATAACAAATAAAATATAAATGACACTAACAAAGTTATTAACAGAACTATGCCCGTGGAAAGTCAACTGAAAATAAGAATGGAATATTGCGTAAAAGTGAGTGGAATTTTATTGCTGGCAAAGTAAAAATAGCTTTATGTATAATTGGCGTTCATGTAATTGTTTGTGATCGTATATTTCTGATCGTACATTACTGATCGTACATTACTGATCGTACATTACTGAAAAGCTATGTTCTGGCTAGTTTAATCCACCAAACTACATGACCAGTAATACAGAGATAGTGAAACGAAAGGATTCAAATTATTTTCGGAGCTATTTATGACGGAGAAATCTTGATTCGGAATTTATCAGTTTGTTTCATGACGAAGAAAATAAAAAGCGAATGAAATAATACGGTGCATCAGGTTTCCATCTGTTTTGTTTTGCTTTTGACTTTTTTTGTTTTTGATTTTCCAGTTCGCACTAGCTGCCAAGACATTACAGGTGGTGCAGGAAAGAAAGTACTAGTGTTTTAGAATAATAAAGGTGAAGTATTTTTCATAGTTTGGGTTGTTTTAATAATATCATAGTGGTTCAATATATATTCGATCGCTTAACGCGCAAGAATACTCTAACCTAGCAAAGTAGTACCGTGTCAGTCGTACCGCAACGGAAACAACGGACAACAAACATACCACTGATAACGCACAACCAGTAAAAACTGAGTGCACTGAACGCCCGGATTGGCACCGGGTTGCTCGGCAATGGCACCAGTAGGAGCCGACGTTCAGTTAAATAAAATGCCACACACTTTATTCACAAAAAGAACGCCTCGATTTATTTCTCGGGTTGGATGGGATTCAGCGTCATCTTTTGAGGCGTTCGAAATTTAGGAAGACACAGTCCAAACCTCGTCTCGATGCCAGCATACGTTGCCACGGCAACACGCATTCCACCAATGTGGTCGGGGTTTAGAGACAAGTCTGGGTTTGTCGGGATCAAGTCCGACCTTGAACTTGTCGTTGAACTAGAAACAAAAAAGGCCATACTTAATATTYGTATTCTTGATCGAGATGCCAAGTAGCAGCCGTAAAAACTTTTCGAAAAGTTTTTTTGCGTTTTTTTTTCTCTCGCAGTCGTCGGATTATTTACAGACGTAT